TCATGTGGCATGCCTTATTTGTGGTATTGATGTTGTTATGCTGTAGATGTAGAGATGATGGTGACCTGAGTATCGTAAGGTCATTGATCATGCACAAGTTCAGGGATGCCAGAAATGATCCTGCAATAGGTATTTGACTGTTTGTCCTTTCAAAGGCCAAGGCATTCATTTAGAAGCCATGGCCAAATAATAGGTTTTGGGCAAATAGTGTAGCTGAAGCTGAACTTTGATGGATCCCTGATAAATATATTTGCATATATGATTTTGTATCCTGCTCTATTAACTTACTCTTAGCATTTTCCTGTAACATTATCTTTGAAATCATGATATTTAAAGGCTGAGTAATTTTTATCTGGAAGTGTTCCATAATTTATGAGCTTTTCTCCTTATGTCAGACTTGTTAGTTCATTTGGTTTCTGTTCACTTCCAGCTGCCTTTGGACAGTCAACATGCATCTTGGTCATTCATTTTTTCCCCCCTACCTTTCATATCCTTAGCTACTGTGAAGAGGCCTCTGCAGTCATTGAGAACTGGCCTCTTATCTTTTATGCAGGAAGGTCCATCAGGTATCTGAAGACAGTTTTATCCCTCCTTCTGCCTCAAGGACTCTCCAGGCTGACAAGTTGTGTCTCACCGGCAGGTCCTCCTCAGTGAACCCTTCACCAACCCATGGTTCTTTCTGGTATTTTCGAATGTGGAGAATCAGAGCATTGAGCCCTCCTGCACACTCTCCCATGCCATTGCACCAGCAACCCATGCCTTGCCCTTTCTTGTGCAGGGTCTGTCTTACTGCACTGGGCTCCTGATTCCCCAGACTCAGGTCCTGGTAGGCCAGAGTCTAGGTTTTGACTGAGACTCCTTCTAAGACCTCATTAGGGACATTCAGTCCACTGACGGACACAAAGCCTTCCAACCCAGATGTTCTGGCTGGCTTCCGTGTGATTGGTGACACACACTTTCTTCTGATGGTCGCGCACAGAGGGGGCAGGTTGAATAGGTCACTCATCCTTGTTGTCTTGCTCCAGAATCATAACCTTGACAGTAGCCTCTCTACATTTCTTCCACTGGAATTACTGGTTACCCATCTTCCTGCTGGGTCTGTTTTATTTTTGCCCCTTTTACACATTTCAACACAGAGATTATAGGACTTCAGCCTGCAGGGTGGAGAAGGAAGCTGGAGTTAGTGGGTTCGGATACTAGTGGGAACATGGGGAGTGACACCGTAGTGTGCTGTAGTGCAGTGCCCCTGTTCCAGAGGAGAGCCAGAGCCCTACCTGAGCCAGCACTGTTAGCTGAGGCGGGAGGACATCTCCCCAGGCTGCCTTGGGACTGGTTTCAATTCCCTAATGCCAAAACCTGCCTGCCTGATAGAAGGGGCTCAGGCAGGCATCCAGGGCTCAGCGTCCAGGCTGGAAGCACCAGCCAGAGGAGGCAGGACCTGGCTTCTTCTTACTTTCTCGGGTCCAGTGGCCATCCTCTTCTCTATTGCAGAGACCCTGGTCCAGCCTGCCGATCAGAAAAGTCTTACACAGGATCTCACAGCTGGTTAAAGCCAAGCAAGGATCTGCAGTCAGAGTTCTCTGATTCTCAGTCTAATGATTTTTCTGCACACTGTGCTATAAAAATGCTACCCCATGGAGGTCCTTTGGGAATCATGTGTGCTGTCTTCATTCCAGAAGTCAGAGGGACCCTCCCTTGCTTACACTTCAAGAAAAATCCTTTATTATCTCTCACTGAAATGTTTGGATAAGAATCTAGATTTTTCAAATGTGCATTCGTTATGGTTGCACAGGAAATCCAAGTAACTGATTTTTCAGAACCTAAGCAGTTAATGCTAGAAATTTTGCTGCAAATAAATTGATCAGTATGCAAGACAGTTGTCACGGCTGAATCATGGTCCACAGTTAAGGTAAACAGATCTGTGATGACATTTTCTGAGCAGAATACAAATGCAGCTACATTTCCTCCCAGAGGTTTCTGACATTTCTTCTACACGGATAACAGATTCTTCTAAGAAGGTGTTGGTCACAAGGAAGAAAGATCTTTGTTTAATCCCTCTGAAAAGGTAGGGCTGTGATATTTGATGTGCTTTCTGTGAAGAGAATTGTTCTAAGAGAGATGAATATTGAGAAGAGCATTTTTCTTTGGTTAGTTGCCTGCTGTCCCCCTACTCCCACCCATGGAAAGAGTCTTTTGGTTTTTCGTTTATTTGAATGGCCATTAAAATATTGTATGTTATCATGTGGTGAAACTTTGCATGTAATTAATTTTTTCCCAATGTAAAGATCAGGGGATATTTTTCTTACTTGGATTCACATGAAATAGTGGGGAGAGCAATATGTCTTTTTTTCATTTCTTCCTGTTCCTTTCATCTGTAATGCTCTCAAGTTCCACATTTTTTCCAGGTTTTCGCTGCCTACACTGCATTATAGGAATTCTACACAGTATGTCTGCATCTGAAATGTGAAATAGTCTACAGCTAGATGCTGCATTATAAACCAGATATGTTTTCTGTGTTATGGTGAACCTTACAAAATCTTTAGCTTGTACTGATTTTTAAATGAGCTCCAAACCTCATTCCAACTTTGTCTAAGAGCAGACAGTCATTTCCCCTCTATGTGTAATGGGAAACAATTTCCTGAGGGGATATTTGCATTTGGAGTCAGACTGCTGCGAATACAGATATTTCTGTCTATTTGTGCATTTGCCATTGGTTATGATCAGGGATCCTGAGCAGAGATCTAGATGAGAGGGTCGCATTTGAGTGGGGGAATAACTCTCGATCTGTAGGGAGTTGCAGTTGGGATAAAAGACCAGAAAGCTCCAGGGACTGGAAAGGAACAAGAAAGCATACCCCTCAGAGGGGACTAAAGGAATCTGCTCAGAAATTCTGGAGCAGTCAAAGGAACACTTTTAGGAAAGGGCATCTTTCCTGTCGTACTTTGTTCCTCCCAGAGCATTTTTTGCAGTCCATTGCCAGGTTAGCATAGGGGTGGTGTCCTCCAGGAAGCCTTCTCAGATCCTCCCAGCCGTCCCCACCACATGGTGTCCAGCATCTCTCACAGCATGCATTTCTCAGTGTGAAGTTACTGGGCTCTGTGCCTCCATCACACTCAAGACTGAACTTGTCAGAGGCAGGATTGGGTCCTTTCATCTCTGACCATTGTTCAGCTTCTAGCACAGCCCCCGGCTCCAAAGAAGAGCTTTGCAAAGGCTGCTTATAATTGAAACAGAAACCGCTTCCTCACAGCAACCTCTGCAAAAGGAAATAATGTCCTGATGAACTCCACGTCTTAGTTGAGGAGAGACTGAGGCAAATAGTGATGAAGCCAGAGCTAGAAGTAGGCTGCTACTGAATGTGTGGCCTCCTGAATCAATGAACCGAGGAATGCATGAGCACGTGTGCCTCTACTTTGCTGCAGAAGTCCTCCTGTATCGAGCATGTGTGGCATGGTAGTTGTAAATATGCAACCGGCCCAATCATATTTTTCTTCCGTCTCTAGACATTTTTTGCCCCATACAGTGTAGGAGGATCAGGTGACCAAGGTTTTTCAGAATTTTCCCTTTTTGGGATCTGACGCCGACACACTATTTTGAGGCAGTGACATCATCTCTTTCCTCTGGCATGCCCTCCTTGCGGCTCCATCATTCAGGCCTTGCCATCTCTCACCTGGACTGCTGTGACCTTCATTCATTCCCAGGAGAAGTCCAGGTACAGTAAGAATGAATCACCAGGGACCAGACCTAGACTGGGTAGGGGAGGGATTGTTCAGAGACTGGCCTCCTTGAGGAGTGATATTTGGGCAAAATCTAAATGACTGTAAGGAATTAATGAGGTGAAGAGAGGGAGGAGAGCTTTCTTGCCAGAGGACATAGCATATACAAAGGTCCTGGGGTCGGAACGGAACATAGTGTGTTCAACGAACTGATAAGGCAGTGTTGCTGGAGCCAGAGAGGTAGGCTGGAGAGGTGGGCAGTGGCCTGACCACACAGGAACAAGTTGATCATGGCAGGGAACTCCAGGTTTGGGCTAAGAGGAAAGAAAATGTGTTAGAGGACGGAGGCAAGGGCTGGCCTTGTCTGATGTGGCTTCCGAGTGCGGAATGAGTGGGAAGGGCGAGAGTGGATGCATGAAGGTCAGGGGTGTCCTGAGGCAGGCCAGCAGCAGAGCTCAGAAGATGGAGAGACCTCTCGGAGGTAGCAGAGAGCTTGCTGGTGGATTGGAGAAGCAGCAGCCGAGGCAGCGCTGCTGCCAGGTGCTTGGATGAGATCACCTAGGAGGACACATAGGATAGGAGGCTTCACAAGACGCCCTGAGATCTGGAAGAGGAGGAAGAACAGGCAAAGGAGGCCTAGAAGGAGGGGCCTGAGGCAGGAGGTGAAGGACATGGGCCTGGAAGACCAGGCGAAAATGCTTGAGATGGAGCAGGAGGCCACATCCCCATAGAAGGTCAGGGGCAGAAGAGCCACTGTTTGCCTTCACAAGAGTGGCCTCCTGATGATGGCAGCTCTGTAGTGGGATGACAGGCAAGTCTGACTGGAGAAGGTTGAAGGAAGCATGGTAGGGAGGAACTGGCGAGGTGAAGCAGCTCTTTGGTGGCTTTGCTTCATAAAGGGGAGCGGGTTACTTTGCCACAATTCCAAACTTTTCCTTGTGTAATGGAAAATTTGGCCTTGGCTTTTGAGATTTATTTGAATTTTGATGTGTGTTATAGCATGTGTTCATGTTTCTGTGCTGCACCAGACGCCTGTCTTTTCTAAATGTGGCAAACCCTCAGCTGCATGGGGAAATCGAGGTGAGGGTCCCATTCTTCACTCCCATTTCAGATGAGCTCCTTGCCAGGCACTGCTTGGGCTGCCCGTGGTGAACTGGAAACAAGAGGGGATGGATGACTTGTCCAGGATCCCTGGGGTTCCTTCCAAAGGGTGTGTAGGGCTGTGGGGTCCCAGGGCTGTGACAAATGCAGGGGCACACTTCCCCACTCAGGCAAAGCTCTTACTATCAGCGAGGAGGAGGCTGTTCCCTGTCAGGTCTGGGGTGGGCTGTGTGTGTGGTTTGTGTGTATGTGGTGTGTGTGTGGTGTGAGAGAGGTGTCTGTGGTATGTGTGTGAGTAGTGTGATGTGTGTTTGTGGTGTGTGTGTGTGTGGTGCGTATGTTGGTTTGAGTGGTTTGTGTGGTGAGATTTCTGTGAGCGGTGCATGTGTGTGGTGTATGTATGGTGTGTTTATTGATGTGAATGGTGTGTGCGTGTGTGGTTTGTGGTGTGTGTGCTGTGTGGGGGTGTATGTATATGAGTGGTGTGGTGTGTGAGCAACGTGTATTGTTTGTGAATGATGTGTGGTGTATGTGAGTTGTGTGTGTGTGGTGTGTGTGAATGCTGTGTATGTGTTGATGTGAGTGGTGTGGGTGGTGTGTGTGTGGTGTGTCCGAATGTGTGTGTATGTGAATGGTGTGCATGTATGTTGTGAGTGGTATATGTGTGGTGTGTGTGTGAATGGTGTGTATGTGTTGTGGTGTGAGTGGTGTGTGTGGTGTGTTGGTGTGATTGCGGATGGTGTGTATGTATGTTGCTGTGAATGGTGGGGGAGTGCGGGGTGTGTGAGTGGTGTGTGATGTGTTGGTGTGTGTGAATGGTGTGTGTGGTGTATGTGTGAATACTGTGCATGTATGTTGACTGATGTGTGTGTGGTGTGTGAGTGGTGTGTGTGTGTGTTGATGTGAGTGGTGTGTGGGGGTGTGTATGATGTGTGTGGGTGTTGTGTATGTTGATGTGAATGGTGTGTATGGAGTGTGCGTGGTGTATGTCAGTGGTGTGTATATGTGCTGATGTGAGTGGTGTATGCAGGGTGTGTG